TGAAGATATTTGTTTTAGCTCATAAAATTCATACAAATTACCCGGCCAGAATATAATTTACATTGCTGGAATTCTTACAATTTGGTGATCATTTTGAATATAAACATCATAGATTTTGCATTAGACATACAAATTTTAGATATAATGTTTACTCTCAGTAAATATGTTATCTTTTGTGCAAAATATATGACATTTATATTCAAAATATTCCTGGTCTTACAAGGAATCCAGCAATGTCAATTGTATTATCCTAACTTTAGTTTGAGGTATTATTTATTAAAATTTAGTGGTTTTCCCCCCAAAATTTCTCAGAGAGGGAAGAGCCAGCAGTGTAGTGTGAGAAGAGGGGGAGGGAGTTGAGTCCATTATTTGAATGGACATTAACTTGGCGACTGTATTTCTCTATTTCTCTTAAGTATTAATTGTGTGCATGTACCATCATAAAATTAAGATGTTATTTTTACTAGAACATTGGGAATGTGTCGGAAAAAGTGGAGTTTGGGGATTGGGCCAGTTTCTATTGGAATTAATCCCATATGTTCTGTTGTTCACTTAGCGCGGTTTTCACTTAACATGGTACCCTGTGGGTTTTATTGACCCGGGGGGGTACTACTGTATATATATATATATATATATATATATATATATATATATATATATATATATATATATATATATATATATATATATATATATATATATATATATATATATATATATATATATATATATATATAATTATGTATGTATGTATGTATGTATGCATGTATATATATATATATATATATATATATATATTTATATATATATATATATATATATATATATATATATATATATATATATATATATATATATATATATATATATATATATATATATATATATTTCATTAGCCCAATAAAGCACGCGGACTTCTACATACAATCAACACCTCAACCCGCCAGGATTCGAACCCACGGCACACAAGCCTATGACTGTGACCGGGGAACGCTAACCGCTGGACCACCAGGATACAAAAGCAGTCCTAGACTTTTGTTATATTTCACACAAAGCCTGTTCAACGAGCTTATGGCGCCGTGAACCTCTAATGGGGACCACCCGTATCACTTAGGTGGTCAGAGTAACGTTTTACCAAATCCGGCTTCGAAACACGAGGATCCATATTTATTTCATTAGCGGTTAGCGTTCCCGATCACAGTCATAGGCTTGGGCCGTGGGTTGAATCCTAACGGGTTGAGGTGTTGAAAATATATATATATATATATATATATATATATATATATATATATATATATATATATATATATATATATATATATATATATATATATATATATATATATATATATATATATATATATATATATATATATATATATATATATATATATATATATATATATATATATATAGTGATTTAAGGGCGATTTAGGGGAATTTTAGGAGTGTTTCTGACTTTATGCATTTTTTGGCTTTACTTTGTATCTACTTTTCTGTGAGCTGGAACCAAATACCCAATATCCCATTGAAATAATGGATTTGGTTATCGAACGACTCTGTGGAACAAATCATGTTCGTTGACTGAGGGACCACTGTATTTATAACACAAACAGAAGGAAAAATATAATTCTGCCAACTTGCCCACACTGTTCAGGTTGATCTAGCCCCACATGTTTATGGTCACATGGCCACTCCTGGCTTTTTGATAAACATGCTGCCAGTCGTAACGGGTGTTATTAGGTCTCCAGCAGTGAAGATGGCTGTGGTCGCCCAGAAGTACTGGTCCTTTGTCACATAATGATCAGTGAACCGTAGTCTCCCAACCTGGTGGTGTTCTAGTCTTTCCTTGACAGCAGAGACATTTTGGTGGATCCCAATTCCATGGAGTCATTGTTTATCTGTCCTAGCCGAGACCTCCAAATGCAGTCACTCCGTTGTGGCCACCGCATTGGTGAAAGGATGGTTGCAAATGTCTGCCACAATCCTTGTATTGTCTGCTGCACTGGTCAGTCTAGGCCATCCTGATCTGGGAAGATCTGTTAAATTATCCAACTCGACAAACCACTGTAACCAACACCACATTGTCAATCTCAAGACTCCCATCTGCCTTGCGCTCTCGGTGATACTTAACCCAGCATTACGCATGCCACCGAATTGCCCTCTGGGAGATATCATGGTGTTTGTCTCCCTGGTTGTAGTTGGTGGAATGACTGAGTGGTTACTGTATGACCACGTTATAACCTCGGATAAGTTATAGGTTGTGGTGAATGGCATTAATTGTCCCTAGAATCATCATTTCCATATTACAATAAATTATCATATGCAATGAGACTGGCATCATTAATAATTTCAATAAAAGCAATAGGAGAGGGATAATATACCCACCACCACTAATCTCCGTTACAATCCTCTCTACTATGAATAGTGTTTCATATATCTGTCCTCAGGGCTCTCACATAAGAGAAATATTATCATCGATAATGGTGTAGTTCAAAATGGAGGAGCACATACACACACTCTCTAAAATGGATTGTTCCCATAATTTAGGTGTCTAGCAGACACATGTGTGTTCGTTTTTTTTATTAAAAGTGTGTTTGTAACATATTGTCTAAGAAATTAATTTCTCCTAAGACATAACATTTTATATTCCTGTCATCATACTTACGTAATATGATACGAAACGGTAAGAGTTCACCGCAAGCATTTCATGTCCTTTCTTTATGCAAGGCAGCACGGTTGTCTTCAGTAGATACAAGTACAGTGGTCCCTCGGTTAACAAACAGTTCGATTAACAAAATTTCGGTTAACGAATTAGCTCCCATAAGGATTTTCAGTTTGATTAACGAACAAAACTTCGATTAACGAAATCCTTATGACGAACATGTTTTGTTGTGCGCATCAACTGATCAGCTAGTCCACCAATACAGTAATTGGTTCTATGTTTACATTTGTTTCCAGTGAAGTAAATATCAAGAAAGTTGGTCTCTTGAATATTACTGCATTTTTTATATTAAAATTATTGGTCATTCTGAAATTTATTTAACATATTGATAATATAGACAGCACAGGGAACAGTTTTTGTGCGCCCATCAGCTGATTGAATCATCCATCAACGCTTCTCAATTTAACTTTGTTTACAGTGGAGTGAACATCGATTTTGTTGGTTTCTTGAATATTTTTGCATTTTTACATTAAAATGATTAGTCATTCTGAAATTTAGTTAACATATTGATAATATTCAGTGCAGAAATTATTATGAAACATGAAGGCATTAGAACCAATGCACTCTGTTTGATTGTAAACAAAGCTGCCGTTAATACGACATACACACCTCAAAGTAAAGTTAAAATACAGTATTCTAATGTTTTTTATTTATTATTGTACAGTATACAGCTACTCCCTGACTTCCGACCTACACGACTTACGACCACCTCAGTCGTACGAAAATTTTGTCAAATTACGTATTTTCGAGTCCCAACGTCAGTGATTGCGGTGTACTGACAAATTTTTCGTTTGTAATTCACTTTAAAATGGCTGGCATGCTTAAAAGTGAGAGTTTTGTGGTGATGAGAAGAAAAAGAGACACCCATTTTAGATTTTCTAGGTATTATTTAAGTATTTTCGACTTACGACTTACATAAGTCGGGGAGGAGCTGTACTGTACTGTACAGTACAGTACTGTATTTAGTTTATATTTAATGTTTTGTTAATTCTATTACTGGTATACAGTACTTTTTATGTACTTTTTCTGTGAGTTGGAACCAATTACCCAATATCCCATTGAAATAATAGATTCGGTTAACAAAATTTTTCGGTTAACGAACGACTCTGTGGAACAAATTGTGTTCGTTAACTGAGGGACCACTGTATTATGGTTTTATATTATATATCTTTTTATTTCTAAGCCATACCATTTATTTCGAGTGGAAAAGTGTTAAAGAAGTTCATTTTTCTGCAAATCTATGCATTTTCAAGAACGTTTAAATTTCTAAACTTAATTTTATTTTTTGTTCTCCAATGAGCATGGATAAGCAAAAAACTGGGGAACACTCATGAAAATGCATGAATTTGCAGAAAAAATAGACTTCTGAAACAAATTTGCGAGATCGGGCTGTAGCACTGTGCATTGTAGGATTTATTGGGTGACCTTAAGAGTGAGGTTCATCTAACCGGAAAATATCTCTATCCGGCACCAATTAATTCCCATAGATACTGGATAACTGGGATTCTACTGTACAGTCAGTTCTGCTATAACGCTATAGTTGTGTTCTTGTAAAACATCGTGTTATAGAAATTCGTGTAATAGAAATAACAGGGCTTGTGGAGAAAATAGAGTTAGGTGCAGATTACTACTCGAAATCGAACAAAATTTAGTAGTTAGCCTAACACAAAGGTTAGCACAGTCTAAATAAATGTTACAGTCATATCTAATTATGAAATCATACAGTAAATGTAACACTTTACCTTGAAAAAATATGAATATAACTTGATGGGGGAGAAGGGTGATTTTGAGGTTGATAACATCGAGCTTCTCTTCAAGGGTTATAGCCTTTCTTTTACGATCATCACCGGTAATGCGATCACCAGAACGCTTCTTGGAGATATTCTTATTTACCATATTCACAGTTAATACCACAAAATTTGAGAAATAGTAAGCAAAAATTACGTTACAGCAAACAAGCGTTCGCATTATACAGATATCGTTCCTCTATTCATAAATCGCGTTAGAGCCAGTTCGTGTTGTCAAAACACGCGTTATAGCAGAACTCACTGTAATAGGTTCATACTGGGAGGTGGCTATTGCTGCTTTTCATTATAAATTGCACCAGAATAACATAAAAAATACCAAAGGAAAACTACTGTAGTAAAAAGATGATAAAAATCTTGCCCCTCACACTTACTGTACCAAGCTTCAGGTAGATGCGAAATAATGCTAAAAATATAGATTTTTTTCCACATCTGTATATCTGACATTAACTAAGGTTTCTGAAACAAAATTTGGGTGCCAGGAGAAAATATATATTTTTTCACAAACTGACCAATGACAGCAGTTTTAATTCTGCAAATATCACGAGGATTGTAGCATATAATACACTGTAAAAATGCTTCACTTAGTCCAGGACACCTTGGGGATGTCAAAGTGTTCAGTAAGTGAATCTAAATGGCGATTGAAATCTTCAACCTTCTCCTTGTGGGTCTTGCTAGCCTTTTTCAATATCCTCTCTGCTTCCTGTAAAGAAAATAAGACAATATATAAAATATTTTCTTTTCATCACTTATCTGATTAATTGACTGGAATGAGAAGGCAAAAGAGCAAAACAGAATTTGGAATGAGAAGGCAAAAGAGCAAAACAGAATTTTTACACAAAGTGAAGCCCACTCTCCCAACTCACATGTATGCACAAAATGTTCCAGACAAACATACAGGGTGTAAACATGAATTCAGATAAACACACACATTTATCTTTTACTGCATACAACAAAAATTCTGAACAGAAACATATATTTCTAAGCACCCTGCAACATTCCAAATGAACAAATCTACTAAAATAGGTTATCCTCATTCTTACTGCCTTCATAAAAAATGGATTTGCAAATTCACCAGAATGTACAGTCGCCTTCAGGTGTAATGTTACGCTCTACCAAGTCTTCCTTGCTTGTGTGGCAACATTGCACTATCGTTTGGCTAAGGAACTGAGTGATAGGGTTGTTTCCTATTACAATACTTGTTTTTGCCAGTATTTGTATATTCATAATAATCGAAAGAACAATTATCAAAGCAAATAATACATATTTTGGATTCTGTGATATGATATATGATGTCACTTACAAAAACAAAGCCTTTGAAGAAAGACACAACAAAATGAAATTAGGCAGTGGCGGGGGTGGGAGAAGAAGGGGGAGAGGTTGTTTGACATTTGAAATGAGTTAGCATTATCCCATCTCATTACTTTATTTGCATTTTCACACTACACTCAGCTCAACATATTTTCACACTACACTCAGCTCAACAACATCAAAGATGAATCATCAGCAGGAAAAACTGGTGTTACGGGGGGAAACTGTCGCGTTGAGAGAGGCTGGCCATACGATTGCAGGCATAGCAAGAGAGCTAGGAATATCGAAACCAACACTGCAACGTTGGTGGCAGAGATGGGAGGAAAGTGGAAACCTCCTAAACCGACCTAAGTCTGGCGGACCAAGAAAGACTACCGCAGCGGACGATCAAAGAATTGTGGATGCAGCGACACAGTCTCCACTGACAAATGTAGTCACCATTAGGGAACAGCTTCAACTTGACATTTCTGCAGAAACTGTGAGAAGGCGGTTACACGAGGTCAGAATACATCATAGGACTCCGGCAATTAAGGAAAAGCTAGATAGCCATCCTACTGCCAGACTCCAGTTTGCCTAGCAATACATGGGTGAAGGCATAGACTTTTGGGGGAAAGTGATCTTCTCAGATGAGACCTATGGTCCTCTCCACTGCTGGTGGCCCAACAACACGAGGTATGAACGTCAGAACATCAACGAGGTGGCAAGAAGCGAACTTGTGACAGTCAACGTTCGGGGATGGATAAACTAGATGAGACTGAAGGGGAGATTTAACTTTGAATAATATTTGGATATTTTGAAAAAAGTGATGGTCCCTTCCGTCCGAGCTTACAATCTCCTATATCCCGAGCGCATAATATTCATGCAGGTATGAGTAATGATATCCTATACCTCTTAATTAATGGCCTATAGCAGATATAATATGCATTTGTATTTATAAATTCCTGATTATGACTTATAATTATTATAACTAGCAAACAAAACAAAGTAAGAGTATAATTTATATATTAAATCAATGTCCAGGTTATTATTTTCCTAATTATATTTTACTTTAATATTGCAGGATGGTTCTCCCATCCAAACAGCCAGAATCGTCAGATGATGGGTAGACGAACTGCCAGACATACAGCTTCTGGAGTGGCCGAGCAAAGGGTGTGAACTCAACCCCATCGAGAACGTATGGGGAACCATTATTAGGTCATGGGAGACGGACGATGACCGAACACCACAGCAACTCCTCCAACACACGAAGGATGAGTGGGAGCGTTTTTGCAGAAATCTGCAATAAATTCTGTATAATAGCCTCTCTCTCAAACAGACTGCAAGAGGTAATTGCTAAGAATGGTGGGTGGGCAAAATACTAACGTTGTAACTGGCTGTTCAACCCCCCACCCGCCCCAGATTCACATACGACTCGCCTTTGCTCCTTCCACTTAAGAACTGATTAGTATTGGCACTAAATACAGCATAACATATAAATAATTTTTGTCAGTTTAAAACAAATTAATTTTGTTAGTGATATAAAGGTTTGTTTTGTAATAAATACTGTATCCAGTCATCATTTATTTCATCCTACTACATCTAAATAGTTTAATATATGCAAGTATTAACTATGAAACCAGAAATGTTGAATACAGTGACCCCTCGTTTAACGAACACCTCGGTTAACGTAATTTAGATTAATGAACTGCCTTCCATAAGGATCTTCAATTCGGTTAACGAAAAAAAATTCGGTTAACGAAGTCCTTACGAACCGACCTCAACATGTTTTCGTTTGCACTGACCGGGCAACCAGCTTTAGTATCAGTCCGCCAATACATTAATCGGTTTTAGGGCTTAAATTCCTTACTATTTTAGTAAATATCAAGAAGTTTATACTATTCAATAATTTTAAAAGTTTAATATTCAATTTTTTAGTCATTTTAACAATTATTGAACATAATTGAAGGTAAAGTGACTAGTTTAATGTGCGGCATCCAGCCTCTTAACACAGCAAACAGGAGTTAGTCTCTCTCTGTTTTCACTGGAGGTAACATCTTGCTTGAGACTCTCTTCAACTAAACGCTTTTTTTCTGTGTTTCCAAGCAAATTATTGGTCATTTTGAAATATATTTTACATATTGACAATATATAATGTAGTGCAGTGTTGATTTAAAGAAAATAATCTTGAATTACACCAAGAGAGCTAAAATTTTATGGGTGAAATGGTGCCATGGGGTGACTTCTCTTCCACCCCAATGCCTTCTCTTCTTCCTTCTCCTCCACCCCCATTCTAAATCCCATCATCATCATCAACATCCAGGAGCCTTCTACATACACACCTCAAAGTAAGTGAACTTTTCTACCATTTTTGTTGAATTTAGGAAATTTTCGGTGAGCTGGAACCAATTACCCAAAAACCCATTGAAACAATGGTTTCGGTTAACGAACGACCTTCTGGAACGGATTGAGTTCGTTAACGGAGGGGTCACGGTATACGAAATGGATAAATTTAATATAACTGAGACGATATTAGATAACAATACGAGTTACAAGACTGATATTAAAGGAAATAAAAATAGTAACACGTTTGCAACAAATAATAACCACAATCTCAAGAAAATAGAACATGTGCAAAACATAAATAGTTTGATATTTATGGAAATAACCTAACCTAATCTCATGCAATATTAGTTATCATAAACTAAAAAACTATCATACCATATGTTTGTCTTACATACCCACAAACTGTATAGAGGGATTAGTTTATTACCAAATGAGAACATAAGTGATACTGTAGGTGCATCTTTTTCAATGCTAGTATTTAATTATCCTTAATTGATTGACTGAAAGTTACCCAATTCCTTTTCCAAAAACATTACCTACCACCTTCTGTTTACTCTCATTACTCTCTTTTTTTCACACTTCCCATCGCCTTTTCATTTTTTGTTGTCCTTCCCCTACCTGTCCCTCTCTCCCCCTACTTCTCCCACCCTCGCTGCCTCCTCCTTTCCTTTCATTGCGTCTTTCTTCAAAGGCTTCGTTTTTGTAAGTGACATCATATATCATATTACAGAATCCAAAATATGTATTATTTGCATTGATAATTGTTCTTTCGATTTTTATTATTAATATACAAATACTACCAAAAACAAGTACAGTGGTCCCTCGATTAACGAACACAATTGGTTCCACAGAGTCGTTCGTTAACCGAATCTATAATTTCTATGGGATATTGGGCAATTGGTTCCAACTCACAGAAAAAGTATACGGTACATACCGGTAATAGAATTAACAAAACATTAAAAATAAACTAAATACAGTACTGTACTGTACAGTATACTGTACAATAATAAATAAAAAACAATAGAATACTATATTTTAACTTACTGTGAGGCGTGTATGTCGTATTCCCGGCAGCTTTGTTTACATATCAAACAGCTGATTGTAGAGGCAGTCGATGATGACATGCCATATTCTTTACAGAGTGCATTAGTTCTAATGCCTTCTTCATGTTTCATAATAATTTCTGCACTGTATACCCTGTATTATCAATATGTTAACTAATTTCAGAATGACCAATAATTTTAATGTAAAAATGCAAAAATATTCAAGAAACCAACAAACTCGATGTTCACTCCACTGTAAACAAAGCGTTGGTGGGTGATTCAATCAGCTGATGGGCACACAAAAACTGTTCCCTGTACTGTCTATATTGTCAATATGTTAACAAAATTTTAGAATGACAAATAATTTTAATATAAAAAATGCAAAAATATTAAAGAGCACAACCTTCTTGATATTTACTCCACTGGAAACAAATGTAAACATAGAACCGATCACTGTATTGGCGGACTAGCCAATCAGCTGATGCGCACAACAAAACGTGTTTCTCGTAAGGCTTTCGTTAACCAAGTTTTGTTCGTTAATCGAACTGAAAATCCTTATGGGAGCTAATTCGTTAACCGAAATTTCGTTAATCGAACCGTTCGTTAACCGAGGGACCACTGTACTGTATTGTAATAGGAAACAACCCTATCACTCAGTTCCCTAGCCACACAAGAGTGCGACGTTGCCACATGAGCAAGGAAGGTTTGGTAGGGGGTAACATTACACCTGAAGGCAACTGTACCATAGAACAGGGGTTCCTAAACTTTTTCATATCAAGTACCCCAAATATGATGAGCCCCAGCCGAGAACCCCCAACTACAAAAAAAAAAAAAAATTATCCACCCTGCACATGTTCTCCATACTTATTCTTACATGAAGTAATTACTAATAAATTAGACCATTTCCCTTTTCAATGTTTTTGATTGTTGTTTTTTAATCAAAGCAATGTCAATTCTGTACAAACACAACCACAATACTGTATTGTGGCACCACCAGAAACCAAAATAACAAAAATTACCTTCATATAAAAAAGTGCACAAATAAAGACAAATCAGGCTATCAGGCATATCCTGTCTCGTGGGATGGATGGGTTGGTGGCTCTTGCACAATTTGTCAATGAGGAGCTTGATATTAGCAAGTGCCAGACGCATGTCGATGTCCACCTGCAGGCGTGCTGTGTTTGGTTTTCAGTACTATGTGTAGAAATTCCTACCTCACACAAGTAGGCTGTGGCAAATGGCAAAAGGCACTTCAGAGCCTTCTCAGCCAGATATTAATTTCTTGTGTAGATCCAGAACTCTGACAGTGGAAGAGCAGAGAACTTGATTTTCATACCCCCTTCATTTGACATTTCAGTGAGTTCCTCTTGCGACTTCAGATCAAGAAAGGTACACCTACCCCGGCTGCAAAAGGGTCTCTAATCCAGTTCAGGTGGGAGTTGTCAAGGTCAGGGAAGTAGTCCCTGAAGTAGCCTTGCAGATGCGATAGATGGAAAATAATTATAGGAATGATGCTGTCTGCACTGGACTTCATACATTTCTGGTGATAAAGTGGGAACATTTCAGTGACTCCTTCCTGGAGTTTGCTTCCTACAAGAAAACTTTTTGTGTGAATGCACCTACTTTGACCTGCATATTCAAAATGCATACTTCACGGCCTTGCATGCTCTAGTTTAGTACATTTAGATGCTGGAAGACATCTGCAAGATATGCTAACTTCTTCATCCATGACTCATCCACAAAACAGCTACCAAGGTCTGTGTCTTTAAGAGCTTGGGGGATTTCCTCCTTTTTCCATATATTCTCCAAGAGAGAGTGGAGACGGTTGGTAAGCAAAGGTCCTCCTGCTTTATACACCTCGGCTGGGATTCCATCAGGCCCTAAGGCTTTGTTATTTTTCATCTGTTTGAAGGCAGTTTCTTCATCCAGGGATGGAGGATAGCTGCGGTGGGTCAGCTCTGGATGCTGAGGGACCTGCTGGGTAGTCAGGACATCCACATCAGTGTTTCGGTTGAGCAGCGAATGATAGTGCTTTTTCCAGCACTGAAGGAGGCCTTCATCATCTTTAATTATGGAGTTACCGTCGGATGAGCGGAGGGGGACTGCGCCACGAATGATTGGCCCATAAAATGTTTTAGTGGAATTGAAATATTTGTGCATCTTGTGATGATCTGAAAATATTTGTGTTTCACAAGCTTTATTTTTAAACCAG